ACACACAGCAGCCTGAGAGCAGTATGAACAGTGTGTATTAATACACTAGATACACACAGCAGCCTGAGAGCAGCATGAACAGTGTGTATTAATACACTAGATATACACAGCAGCCTGAGAGCAGCATGAACAGTGTGTATTAATACACTAGATATACACAGCAGCCTGAGAGCAGTATGAACAGTGTGTATTAATACACTAGATACACACAGCAGCCTGAGAGCAGTATGAACAGTGTGTATTAATACACTAGATATACACAGCAGCCTGAGAGCAGTATGAACAGTGTGTATTAATACACTAGATATACACAGCAGCCTGAGAGCAGTATGAACAGTGTGTATTAATACACTAGATATACACAGCAGCCTGAGAGCAGTATGAACAGTGTGTATTAATACACTAGATACACACAGCAGCCTGAGAGCAGTATGAACAGTGTGTATTAATACACTAGATACACACAGCAGCCTGAGAGCAGTATGCACAGTGTGTATTAATACACTAGATACACACAGCAGCCTGAGAGCAGTATGAACAGTGTGTATTAATACACTAGATACACACAGCAGCCTGAGAGCAGTATGCACAGTGTGTATTAATACACTAGATACACACAGCAGCCTGAGAGCAGTATGAACAGTGTGTATTAATACACTAGATACACACAGCAGCCTGAGAGCAGTATGAACAGTGTGTATTAATACACTAGATACACACAGCAGCCTGAGAGCAGTATGCACAGTGTGTATTAATACACTAGATACACACAGCAGCCTGAGAGCAGTATGAACAGTGTGTATTAATACACTAGATACACACAGCAGCCTGAGAGCAGTATGAACAGTGTGTATTAATACACTAGATACACACAGCAGCCTGTGAGCAGTATGAACAGTGTGTATTAATACACTAGATACACACAGCAGCCTGTGAGCAGTATGAACATTGTGTATTAATACACTAGATACACACAGCAGCCTGAGAGCAGTATGAGCAGTGTGTATTAATACACTAGATACACACAGCAGCCTGAGAGCAGTATGAGCAGTGTGTATTAATACACTAGATACACAGCAGCCTGAGAGCAGTATGAACAGTGTGTATTAATACACTAGATACACACAGCAGCCTGTGAGCAGTATGAACAGTGTGTATTAATACACTAGATACACACAGCAGCCTGAGAGCAGTATGAGCAGTGTGTATTAATACACTAGATACACACAGCAGCCTGAGAGCAGTATGAACAGTGTGTATTAATACACTAGATATACACAGCAGCCTGAGAGCAGTATGAACAGTGTGTATGAATACACTAGATACACACAGCAGCCTGAGAGCAGTATGAACTGTGTGTATTAATACACTAGATATACACAGCAGCCTGAGAGCAGTATGAACAGTGTGTATTAATACACTAGATACACACAGCAGCCTGAGAGCAGTATGAACAGTGTGTATTAATACACTAGATACACACAGCAGCCTGAGAGCAGTATGAGCAGTGTGTATTAATACACTAGATACACACAGCAGCCTGAGAGCAGTATGAACAGTGTGTATTAATACACTAGATATACACAGCAGCCTGAGAGCAGTATGAACAGTGTGTATTAATACACTAGATACACACAGCAGCATGAGAGCAGTATGAGCAGTGTGTATTAATACACTAGATACACACAGCAGCCTGAGAGCAGTATGAGCAGTGTGTATTAATACACTAGATACACACAGCAGCCTGAGAGCAGTATGAACAGTGTGTATTAATACACTAGATACACACAGCAGCCTGAGAGCAGTATGAACAGTGTGTATTATACACTAGATACACACAGCAGCCTGAGAGCAGTATGAACAGTGTGTATTAATACACTAGATACACACAGCAGCCTGAGAGCAGTATGAGCAGTGTGTATTAATACACTAGATACACACAGCAGCCTGAGAGCAGTATGAGCAGTGTGTATTAATACACTAGATACACACAGCAGCCTGAGAGCAGTATGAGCAGTGTGTATTAATACACTAGATACACACAGCAGCCTGAGAGCAGTATGAACAGTGTGTATTAATACACTAGATACACACAGCAGCCTGAGAGCAGTATGAACAGTGTGTATTAATACACTAGATACACACAGCAGCATGAGAGCAGTATGAGCAGTGTGTATTAATACACTAGATACACACAGCAGCCTGAGAGCAGTATGAGCAGTGTGTATTAATACACTAGATACACACAGCAGTCTGTGAGCAGTATGAGCAGTGTGTATTAATACACTAGATATACACAGCAGCCTGAGAGCAGTATGAGCAGTGTGTATTAATACACTAGATACACACAGCAGCCTGAGAGCAGTATGAACAGTGTGTATTAATACACTAGATACACACAGCAGCCTGAGAGCAGTATGAGCAGTGTGTATTAATACACTAGATACACACAGCAGTCTGTGAGCAGTATGAGCAGTGTGTATTAATACACTAGATATACACAGCAGCCTGAGAGCAGTATGAGCAGTGTGTATTAATACACTAGATACACACAGCAGCCTGAGAGCAGTATGAACAGTGTGTATTAATACACTAGATACACACAGCAGCCTGAGAGCAGTATGAGCAGTGTGTATTAATACACTAGATATACACAGCAGCCTGTGGGCAGTATGAACAGTGTGTATTAATACACTAGATACACACAGCAGCCTGAGAGCAGTATGAGCAGTGTGTATTAATACACTAGATACACACAGCAGCCTGTGAGCAGTATGAACAGTGTGTATTAATACACTAGATACACACAGCAGCCTGAGAGCAGTATGAACAGTGTGTATTAATACACTAGATACACACAGCAGCCTGTGAGCAGTATGAACAGTGTGTATTAATACACTAGATACACACAGCAGCCTGTGAGCAGTATGCACAGTGTGTATTAATACACTAGATACACACAGCAGCCTGAGAGCAGTATGAACAGTGTGTATTAATACACTAGATACACACAGCAGCCTGAGAGCAGTATGAACAGTGTGTATTAATACACTAGATACACACAGCAGCCTGTGAGCAGTATGAACAGTGTGTATTAATACACTAGATACACACAGCAGCCTGTGATCAGTATGAACAGTGTGTATTAATACACTAGATACACACAGCAGCCTGAGAGCAGTATGAACAGTGTGTATTAATACACTAGATACACACAGCAGCCTGAGAGCAGTATGAACAGTGTGTATTAATACACTAGATACACACAGCAGCCTGAGAGCAGTATGAACAGTGTGTATTAATACACTAGATACACACAGCAGCCTGAGAGCAGTATGCACAGTGTGTATTAATACACTAGATACACACAGCAGCCTGAGAGCAGTATGAACAGTGTGTATTAATACACTAGATACACACAGCAGCCTGAGAGCAGTATGAACAGTGTGTATGAATACACTAGATATACACAGCAGCCTGTGAGCAGTATGAACAGTGTGTATTAATACACTAGATACACACTGCAGCCTGAGAGCAGTATGAACAGTGTGTATTAATACACTAGATACACACAGCAGCCTGAGAGCAGTATGCACAGTGTGTATTAATACACTAGATACACACAGCAGCCTGAGAGCAGTATGAACAGTGTGTATTAATACACTAGATACACACAGCAGCCTGAGAGCAGTATGAACAGTGTGTATTAATACACTAGATACACACAGCTAACCCTGATTCAGCGTGTGATTGGCCGATGTGTCTGAGTCAGCGTGTGATTGGCCGATGTGTTTGTGAGTCAGCGTGTGATTGGCCGATGTGTCTGTGAGTCAGCGTGTGATTGGCCGATGTGTCTGAGTCAGCCTGTGATTGGCTGATGTGTCTGTGAGTCAGCGTGTGATTGGCCGATGTGTCTGTGTGTCGAGGGAACCAATGAGCATCTTACTTCTTAAAAATACTTTATCACTGCACTACTCTATATTAGGGCTGTCAAGTTAACGCGTTAATAACGCGATTAACGCATGTGTACTTTTTGTCCTCGGCCGCCACGTAGTTTCAGAGCGCATCGAGTTTAAAATACCGTCTACAAACTGATGCTGACAGCCCCGCTCCTGCCGTCCGCTTGCGGCAGACCACACTTCCACGCTCACCGGCAGGCACCGACTGGCCATCGGGAGGACCGGGAGGGTGTGTGTATGTGTGGCGCGAGCGAGCGAGAGACAGACCTTACGTGTATTGTTGTTGTTAGCATCTGGTGCTAGCTAGCTGCGCTAACGGATATAAGGAGCTGTTTCAATGAAAACAGAGGAGCGACATTTCGCCACAACTGCGCCGAGCACTTGACTTGATGCAGGAAGCCAGACAGTGGGACATTGTACGAGAAGTCAGCACACTCAGCACGGATAGTGCGCAACATGATACAGCGTCCAGGCAGCTCCCGTTCGAGCATATGCCTTGAGTTGCACATAGCTCCAACACACACACACACACACACACACACACACACACACACACACACACACACACACACACACACACACACACACACACACACACACACACACACACACACACACACACACACACACACACACACACACTGTATTGTATGAGAGAGGTTCCAGGTTGAATTGAGACGGATATTTTTAATGTTCAGAGGTTGTTATGTTTAATAGTCATGAGAATATTTGTCATTAATGATAATAAACAAACATTTGCATAAAGCATATTTGTCCACTCATATATAAGAGTATTACAAACTAAAAATATTCCTCTAAGGTACATTTAGAACAGATAAAAAATGTGCGATTAATTTGCGATTAATCGCGATTAACTATTTTAATCGACTGACAGCCCTACTCGATATACTATATATCAATAACATATATATCTATTGTCTTCAGGTCCAGCACAGGAAGTCTAACTTTATTAACAACAGAGTCAATGACAGGCTTTAGCATATTAGCTTGTGATGCTAACAGAGACACTTCCTGTTTCAG